ATATTCTTTCATGTTGTTATGGCTGTTTGTCAAACTATTACCCTTGACCATTATTTCACAGGCTGAATGTTCCCACTCTTTTTTCAATGTGAAGAAATGTCTATGTATGAGAGCAAACACAGGGAGGGATAACCTATACAGCTGTCTCACCCATTTTCATATGTCCCTTCCCAAAAGAGCTTGATAATGTACCCTGGGCGTAGGCTTCAGGAAAGGGTGACAGAAGGTTCTGGTCTTGGATTTAAGTGTGAAAACTTTAATCTCACTCTGTGTCTTTAAATGTGAGAAGACCATTTGGCACCCTGGCCTAGTACAGAAGATCCTTTCAATGCTAATGATCCAATGGATGACCACAACAGGGCCTATCATTAAACAAAATGGACTCAACCTCTTAATAAACAAGGGAAACTGGGGGTGTGATGGTTTAATGACATCAAAGGGAATCCAACAGGGCTTTCACAGTCGATTCGGCAGAGAATATGTGAATTAATAAGAAATTTATTGGCCTTACGATGTTGTTTTGAACTCTCTTGGTGCAATAATCATAGTTTAAAAGTACAATTGGATATTTTAATTAAAATGTTTATCAGGATCAACTGTGGAAGCCTCTGGTGGCAGGAAACAGCTGGTTATACCTGAAATTTGGAAAGATTTGAATTATTATAACAAATAGTTTGCAAAAGCAGACTGAATCTTCTCAATTTTTGGATTGAATTGAATTGTTTATTTTGGAATGATGTTTCGATCACTTCTGGTGCAAAATTTGGGTATAACAGTAATATGTGGACTTACGCTTACATGGCGTTATTGCCAGTTGGTCTATTGTCCCATGAAAAGATATTATATTGAACGAGCTGGTGCGCAAAAATAAGACTAATTTTTCTTCTAAGAAGTAGTTTGCTGAGATGCAAAAATAATTTAAMAAATTATCTGCAAAACTTGTCCAAAAAACTTTAAAGTTAAACTGGATGGAAACATTTAGGACTTCACTTTACATAGATTTAAGAATGTGTTCAGGATTAATGTTTTGTCTTTTTATTTTTCAAAGTTTTAGTGTTCAATGATTGGCAGTTTAAAGAATGGATTTTGTGTTATTGTTATGGTGATTAGTTCATAGTTTATCATTTTTGTTTATTGAGTTTAGTTTATTTGTTTATCATTTAGTTGTTTACAGTTTTATATTGCGCGCCAGCTTTAGAACCCTGTGAAATTAAAGTCAGTACATACATTAACCTGTGAAAGGAAAGAAATATTGGTTACAGTGAGATTTGAACCCTTACCTTCGTATCCAGTAGTCTGCTGTCTTGACCACCAAGCCATCTAGTGAATCGCTGGTTCAAACCGCTCAACATCAAAAGTCATTGTTTGAATTTGCATGAATTGCGACCTGCTATAAAGTTAAATTTCGAAGCCTGACCAGCAACTTCGACTAGATGGTTTAGTGGGTTAGTGGTTGGGCTATGAATCTGAAGGTTAGGAGTTCAAATCTCGGTTATAGATTTCTTTCTTTCTGGAAACTAAGATAAATTTCAAAAATTAAAATTTTATTTATTTCTGGATGCAAATTAA